TTCTTTGCCATTGGCTCGTTTTGTAAGACTCGAAGTTGATAGGCTTTCTAAGCGAAACCCCATTCGTCGTCATCCGACGTAACGTCTCCGTTCCCTACTCAGGGAACGAGGGTTACACACGTAACCGAGGGACGTCATTTTCTATTGATTACATGTTATTCTCACAATGGCATTAAATTATTATACTACTTTGTTAAGTCTTCCAGGTTTGTGGAATTGCACACACATACCAGCCACTATCAGCCTATCACTGAAAACTGAGACCCACACAGCATTTGACCACTGGGTTTACAGAAATCATTTCACTTTAAAGTAATAACAGGTAGTTTTTTGCTCTCGGGCTCCCCCTACAGTTGGGAAACAGTATTGTCCTCTACTACTGTCGTAAACTCTGTCATCCTACATGCACGTGCAATTGTTGACAACCAGGATAGCCCTGAACACTGTAGGAGGAGGTCACATGCAGGTGTTCTGCTTGCGTCGCGTGTGAAATGTCTTCATCCCAGGTACAGTGGCATATATTTCAGCATGTCATATGAATATAATTTCATGGGTTTTATTTTTTTTCTAACGACAAATGATCGCGATGCTCACGTTTACAAGCCAGCTTCATTATAGTAGCCTAGTCTATTGGTTACCGTTTTACTGGATCTATATGATACTTCAATGCAATGTTTGAGTGGTTGATAATAACCGTATATCGTCAATATTATAATATCAAGCTACCATAAATGAATCTGCAAATTTTACAAATCGATTTGCATTATAGCTTGAGGCAAGACAAATAAACAAATATCACAGACATGTTAGGTATCCTAAAATATGATTTTATTAATAATCTTCCTCCTTTCTTTGTACATGTTGAGTAGACTACACTTTTTAGGTCAAACATTTGCTATTTGCATTTCATCGATTGCAAAGTTCAAATCAGAACGAGAATACTAGCGATAGCTAACCATCAAAAACTAGAATATCGTTTACTAGCTACGAGATTGATAATTCGCTATTACTCTAGCGAATTAGAGAGGTTAGAGAGAGGCATTCTTTTTTCGATGGAGGGTTCGATGCTCCCTGCACACGCAAGGTCTCTCGCTCGCTTTCTCTCTCTGCCGTCCGCGCGCGTTGGAGCACAGTCTCTGTCTCGCGTGCGCGCTCGCTCTAGATTCCGGGAGATTTGAACTAATTTGCGGTATAACTTGTCGATCACGAGTGGCTCAACAGGTAGATCTATAGATAAACTCATCTTTCAGGGATTTGACCGACCGGGTTGACAATTTAGCGTGAGAAACCGGGGGTGTGGCGTACGTGTGAGCGTGTGAAACCAATCAAATGCGGGTGTCTCACGGCCAATGCGTGAGAGTTGGCAGCTCTGCAATGTTGATCCTCCCCAGCAAACATTTGGACGTGTAATGACCGTTGAAAAGACGTCCGTCCGACACGTCCCGTCATGGTTGAAAAATAGTTCCAAAATGAAAGTTGAACCGACGTCTTTGACGTCATCTGGCCGTGAATTCCACGTCTCTTCTGGCCGTGAATTCTACGTCTTTTCTGGCCGTGAATTCCACGTCTCTTCAGCGCGTCCCTGGACGTCTAAATGCGTCGTCATTTGTGTGTTTAAATGTGTTGCTGCATAATTAAGTGTATATAAGCCTGCATTTAAAATAATCACACACATATTGTGTAACATCGTGACAGGGAATCAAGTCTTGAAGTTTACACATCTTGACAAAGGTTCTAAAAAGGTCCAAAATTGGTCTAGTCAGACCTGACCGTCAATAAAACGTTTTAATCACGTGTACATCACAAACAAGAACACATTTGTGGACATAAGAAAAAAAGAAGCATGTTCTGATTTAGCACATTTTATTGATCTTGAAAAGCCAAAATGTATCTTAATATTTTTTCAATGTTTAACATTTGTTAACCAAACTAAAATACCAATTACAAAATACTGAATTATTATATAAAGGGATAGTTCACCCACAAATGAAAATTCAATGAAGAAAGGTATACAGGTTTGAAACATGAGGTTGAGTAAATGATGACAATTTTCATTTTTGGGGAAACTATCCCTTTAAACACATTGTTTGGCTCAGTTTTTGTATCCACCAGCTGTTCGTGTTTCAGGTGTTCTGCCATTGCTGCATCAATTTCAGAGTCTGTAGCATTTGGGCTCCACCTCTTCACAGCATCTAAGCATCAGCATCTAATCATTAAACAATATACTTGGTATAACGTTACCGTTGTTGTATACGTTCAAAGTTACTTTTAGCCTACTGGCTAATTTTAGCCAAACTCAGTAAATTTCAGTTGACAATGTGGGCATAATTTCTTTCGGTTCATTCATGTCACACAAGTAAAACTCAAGCACGTTAATCTAATACAAAATGTACTTACCCAACAGTAGATTTTTAATAATAATATCGACACAACTCCGTCCTCTCCTCGTGGTTGTTCAAAGTTCCAGAGTCTATGGGGAGAACGCGTTAACATCTCGCGAGATAATCCCATCGCATGATTTTGTAATATCGCGAGACCTTTTGTTACTACATCTTGGCAGCACAGTTTATGGTTTGGGCAGAGGGTTTGGGTAATTACATCCAACTCAGACATAAATGGTGACCGGGTATATTTCTGTTTTACATGTACATACATTCCATAAAAAAATAACAACGAATACATCAGGTACAACAGGTTAAAATAATGATTAAAAGGCAGTGGCTTTGCAATCACTTGACTATACTGTGCATTTTGTGATTATAATTTATAAAAACAAGATAAAGTAAATATATATTCATTTGTATATAAATCGTGTATTTTATAAAGAATTATAAATCCTGATAATTTTTTTCTGTCTTGCTAGACTAGACGTGCAAAAGACGCCAGTGGACGTATAGTATTCACAGCCTGACTAGACGTGTAAAGGACGCCAGTGGACGTCTTCTTCACAACCTCTTAAAAACTTAATGGGCAACTACATTAATTATTGCAGTATTAACCATGCGAGGATTAAGCGCAGCTTTTGCATATTTAACAAGGATTTCATAGAGGGTCATGATGGACTTTAAATGCACGTGTAAAAGACGTCGCCAGGTGACGTCCTCTCACCCGATACACTAAACATAACTACACGAGCTAAAAGTTAAAATAACAATTATACATGCAACTGTAGACATGTACAAATGTATCTGAATGCATTTTTAGGAAATGTTTTGTGTTACATTTTTTACCGATTTATGACGTCCTGGCCGCAACTATTTTTGGCCAGGGACACGACGTTGCCGTCGGACCAATATTTGCACGATCGTTCTGCCTTTAACGCGATCACTTTCTCTTTTTCTCTTTTTGCTTTGCTCCGATAAAACCTTTGCTTTCTTGTTTTTCTGTGCTGCTTCGGCCATGACTATAACATTTGGCTCGCAAGTCCGATTTTAAGGAAGTGGGGGTGGTGGAAGTGACGTATATGCCGTAAAGCAGTCGAATTTTGTAGTTCTCTTTGTTCGCCGGTTACTACCCGAAACCCGAAGTTTAAAAGTACGATTAAAAACGCTACAGACCCCGTCAGGCTATGGCAGACGTGTCATTCAACCTATTGTAAGTCGATGTACCATCACAAGAGACTTGGAAATATATTATGAAGGTTGAAAAGTTACCTGTTGTTACTTTAAGAAGGGTTTTCCCAACATTGCATATCTAATCAACTCTTGAAGAACACATTACCGGTAAAAATGAAATAAAAATTAATATCACTGAGTGAGAGATTTAACCTTGTATTTCTGTCTTTGGAATGTTTTTGTCTTTCAGACACATCAAAAAGTACAAATTCATGTCATTTCATATTTACATGCAATTCAGGGATTCCTCCACTTTTTTTGTCAGCTGAATCTCTTTGCCCTAATATATTTACTTGAAGTAAGCCCTTAGATTTCAAGTTAAGTTAGATCAATAATAAAATTAAATAAATAATAATAATAAATAATAGGAAAAAATTAATTTCACGGTTCTCACGAATCCCCTGCCGTTCATCATGAACTCCAGTCTGGGAAACCCTGACGTAATGTACTTCATGTTGTTGATACCAAAGAACAGAATATATCTTGTTTCTTTTTGTATTTTTAATTTTCACTGTGGTACACTGCAGGTGGAATCCTATTCAAATCAATGTGATAAAAGGTCAAAAGTAATCTAAAAAGTAGTCAGAATACATAACCTAAAATGAGTACTCTAAATTACATTACTAACTACTAACTGACTACAATTTGTAAAGAATCTATATTACACTTTTTAAATGATGAACTTTAGTTGAACCTTCTTACAGACAACACATTTTCAGCATTCAAACATTCTAACTGAAAGTAAAGTGAAACAGAGAGATTGCAGTTACAATAGATTTATTACTTCTGCAGTTCTTTGCAAATGTCAAAATACCAAGCTTTATAGACCAAAATATACAATACTGACTTTTCACATGTAGAGTGTGTTATCAAAATAACCAAATGTGTACGGCAATCATATTGATCAATATACTGCATCATGCAAACTAACTACTGTAGGTTGTGTACAACAGATTTAGAAAGGCAATAATGGTTCACAATTTTCAAACGTGGTCTCAGGTCACTTAGAATGTACAAAATAAACCATATTATGTTTACCCTTATTATTACTTATCACAAATAATCGTATTTGTTGTGTAAGGCATAACAAATGCCAGTGATTACCTTTTGTAATGGTAGCAGATTAATAAATTAATAGCAACAAAGAGATTAAACTCAGAAACCACAGTGGAATGGATTAGGTGCCCATAGCAGCTTAGACAAACCCTGATGTAAGCACATATACATACATGCTTTGATTACTACATACATATAGATAAAATTACATAAGCAGCAAATATATATTTTATACAGTAGAATATTTCATACATAGACAAAAATATCCTTTAATAAAGTATCTTAAAGGTTGAGAAGCTTTGGATGTCAGATTCAGTCAGGTGTCACATTAAAGTTGTACAATAAAAGGTTGAGGACTTTAAATCACTAACATCAAGTACCATTTACATATAAACTCAATACAATATTGGGATATTATTGTGTCATGAATCGCACAGCAGACAAAACACTGTTAGAAAAGGTTCATAAATAATATCTCAACCCACTTATGATCCATCCTCAAGCCTTTTTCTGTCTGCTCTGGCCCTCTATAGGTCAAAACAAGATCAAATAAACCCACTGATCAGCGATGAGAATTTCAAGAGCTCCCACTATGGCTCAAGTATCTCTCGTGTACAGGAAGCCTGACCACTCATGAACAATTAGCCCTCTATTCCATCTGAAGGCTAAAACAAGCAGGGTCAGCAAACTTTACCATGTTATTTCCCAAGCCAGAGGTCACTAGGAAGATGGTTTGTTGTACCCAAACAGCCCCACAGGAATGTACTTCACATGAGTGGGCCACTGAGACGCCAGCTGGAAGAACTTCACATCATTCCACTCCATCCCATCTACAGACACTGAAACATTAAACACGTCCATCTCGTGAGTAAAGTGCATTAACATACAGAGGGTGCAAATGTCTGAGAAATTTAAATGCGAATTTAAACCTGAATTTTGACATTTAAAACAAAAGACTTATGACAAAATTAATATGAAATATTTAAGATTCTGCATTATTATTGGTCACTGTTAAAACAAGCAAATGTGTGACATTGATCGTGTAGACAAAACAAATACCAAGACATTCTAAAATACATGAATGTACATTTTTTAATTGAACTTCTCAATCATATAAAATATGATAATATGCTGAATCTTCAATTAGGAAAATGCAAACCATAAGCATTTTGCGAATGGTCTCAGGACTTTAAGGGCCATAAACACCATAATGTTCAGGTTAGTGGTCATATCACAATGGGTTTTTCCAATAAACTTACCACACTGACCCCATAAATTTGGAATATTTGGTTAAATCCTTAGATACTAGTAATCTTTTATTCACGTAATTGGTATCTAACATATCTAAATCTTTAAAGCTGCATTTATACTGCAGGTTTTTAATCCAATTCCGATTTCTTTGACAACCAGCTTATATCTTTTAAAATTGACCCATATCCTATATCTGTATTTACACTATACACTTGGCGAAACAACCCAAGGTAGATGTACTGACCCGGAAAAGCTTAGGCCGAGAAGGAAGTAAAAATGGTGCGATTTGCAATAGACGCAGACAAAATGATACTACGTAATACTACAAAATAATACATTCTGCACCATCTTTAAAGGTCCCCTGACATGAAATTTTTAACATTAATATGAGTTCCCCTAGCCTGTATGGTCCCCCAGTGGCTAGAAATTTCAATCGGTGTAAACCGAGCTTTGGCTATCTTTCTCTGCCTTTGAGAAAATGAAAGCTCAGACGGGCTGATCTTGAATCTCCTCCGTATGAAGTCATACGGAGGAAAGGTAACCTCCCCTTTCTCTGCTTTGCCCGCCCAGAGAATTTGGCTCGCCCATGAGAAAATGAGCTAGGAAGTACAAACGCGCGAGCGTGATTTGAGTTTTTCCTCGAGAGATATCACAGAAAATGAGCTAGGAAGTAGGAAGTATGACGTCATACGGAGGAAAGGTAACCTCCCCTTTCTCTGCTTTGCCCGCCCAGAGAATTTGTCTCGCCCATGAAAAAATGAGCTAGGAAGTACGAACGCGCGAGCGCGATTTGAGTTTTTCCTCGAGAGATATCATGGCTTGCAAACGAGCGAAGCATGGCAGTTGATCAGTGTTCGGATGTACAAATGAACACAAAAGTATTTTTTAGTTCCTTCATCCGAGCCTCTGAAGAAACAATGGGTTCATTTTATTTTCTCTGGAAATGCGCCGACACAACTTCCCAAAATTTTGTATGGTCCAAACATTTCACCGACGACTGTTTCCTCAACTTGGGCCAATACAGAGCTGGCCTCGATGAACGTCTGAAAATAAATCGATCGAGCTACCAAGCAGCATTTTGGGGGGGTTGTACACCTAATACAAAAATAAATAAAACCTCTCCAGTTAACTAGCAGAGCATGCATTTAGTTTGCTATTAAATAAGAGATCTAGCGCTAAAATCTGTTGTTTTTTAAATCAAGCGGAGCGCTCTTTTTCGCTGCTATCAGTTGCATGGATACAGTGTCTTTTGCGGCTCGCGCACCATCTTCACTCGGACGCGCGCTTCAATCTATCGCCGTTGCGGAGACTCTATATTCTGCACAGTTTGACCAGCGGGCAGCGGCCGCACACCAGGCCGCCGGATGGTGTAAGAATTTGCAATGTATAACTATCAGACCAGCCCTCGCGGCCTCGAAACACTAGCACTACCGGCCCACCGGGAAAAGTCCCGACTCTCCGGACTACTGACCGGCGGCCACCACAGTATCACTTGTGCTCGCACATGCAGCCATCTCGATGTAGTGTTTGTCTCATGACAGCTGCAGCTTCTTTGCTGCCTGCGTGAGGAGAAAAAACACAGACGTCCATAAGGGAGGCACTGGAAGCGTGCGTTGCACACACCAACATGTAATACGTCTCTTACAAATCTGGAACGCGGTCATTCTTAAAAGTATCGATACTAATAAATTTGGGTATCGTGACGTTTTTCATTTCCGAGAATCGCGATACTTCTGAAGTATCGGTGCACCGTGCAACACTACCACATATGAATGAGGCCTGAAACCGATCTGAGAATATCGGAATCCATGTGCTTTTTTTCTTGCTTACACGTTTGTGTTTCATATCTAATCTGCGCCACATGGGAGGAAAAAAATTTGGTCACTTGAACCATATAAAGTAAATGCAGTCTTAGACACATTCCCAGTAAACATTTGGACGTTTAATGACCGTTGAAAAGACGTCCCTCTGGAACGTCCTGTCATGGTTGAAAAATAGTTCCAAAATAAAAGTTGAACGGACATCTTTGACATTATCTGTTCTGTGTTACATATTTTTACAGATTTATGCCGTCCTACAGCGACTATTTTTGGCCAGTATCAGTATCGGACCAATGTTTGCTGGGTTATTACAAAAGTAAACGGGCGAAAAAAACTGCTCAATTCATTTGTGTTCTGTTGACAAGTACCTCTTAGACTGGTTTGTTGATTCTTGGCAGAACAGATGAGTCTGGTGATGCCTTCAATGATCTGACTCTTTGACTCTGTGTCTCTCTCTTTTGGCTTCTTCCCTAGGAAGATGGTTGGGACTGAAGACAGGCGAAATTAGTAAATATAGTTATGTGTGGATATGGATAAATATGGAGACTATAAACAATAGTAGCACTGCAAAAAAAAAAAAAAAGAAAGAGAGCCGAGGGCGAGAGAGAGCAGAAATGTCAAATGAAAACACTGTATAGAGTGTCATGAAAACAAAGGGATCTTTAGCAAAAGGACAAATGTGCATTTTCTGTAAATTCAGTGAACAATCTCACCTTTCTTGTTCTTCTCCTTGGTCACCACAGTCATGGACATGGTGTTAGAGCCAGTCTGGAGCTCAATGTTGCCGAAACCGGGCAGTCGGCTAACCTGCAAGGATCTGAACGCACACCTCAAAGTCTTCTTACTGTCTCTCTGCTCTCCGTCTTTGCGCTTCTCAACCCCGGCAGACACCCAGTAATCCACCTGCAGCCCAATCGCATCCACGCCATGAGACATGCTGGGGCTCCTAGATAACAGAATCAGTTTGACCAGATTTACCAGGCTAGCATTTTTAACAGATGTAAGCCATAGCAATGTGAGAAACAGCAAAGCGGTGCAGATTTCTGTACAATATTGTACACAAACCCTAGAGCAGCCAGTCCACCGCTTAGTGAGGGTGATGGAGGAGGTGTTGCAGAATCTTTCATCATCCCAGTGGGAGATACATGAGCAGGTGGAGACGTCGAGGGAACTGCCAAGCTCAAAGCTAAACCTTCTTCACAATCTCCACCTACAATGAGTCAAATAAACATTTGGGGAAAAACTACAATAATGGTAAAATGCAATTTCATTGCAAAGTGACAAGATAATTTCGAAAAGAAATATAAATGCTTGCTGCTATTAATAACTGGCCAATCTAATAAAGGTTTAACTATACATTAAACAACAAAAATGTGATTAAATTCATTTGTTCTATCAATACTATTGATAAAACTCAAAATGTGCATCTTTAACTTTAGTGGTAAGTTGCATTGTTTAGTAAAAAGAACCAACTCAGAATCCTTCATTTGGGAGTCAGACCACACTGGTTCCATTGAATGTTTTTGATTCGCTAAAAACTAAACCAGCTCATAAGAGTCACTTGTTGAGAAATCAAACTACACTGGTTTCACTGTCTGGTTCTTTGTTCCCAACTCTAATGGTAATACAATATTACAGGTGAATTTTTATGGACAGATGCAAAAAAAAAACCAAAAAGACAAACCTGAAGATCCTGGGCTGCGCTCTACCAATCGCTCTACCTTAACCAACTGTTGCAAGACAAAAGGAAATATAAATCCATCCATCATTGAAAATTAAAACACTAGTGTTAAAAAGTCTTTTTAAAGAAATTAATACTTTTAATTTTCATTAAATTTATCAAAAGTTTACATTTATAATGTTACAAAAGTAAATGTTGTTCTTTTGAACTTTCTATAAATCAAAGAATTCTGAGACCTTGGTGAGACTTCTTTCCAAAAAATTTTTACCGACCACAAACTTTTATATGCTAGTGTAACATTAACTAAAAATGTACTCACACCCACAAAAGGAACAAAATTTTGGTAGGAATCTTCATCTTGCCTAGAATAGTAATAAATAAAAAAAACCATCAAATAAAATATAATACAAAATATTTGAAATGATGAGGTGATAGAAATCATCTCACTCACATCTTTTGTTTGCAGGTCAGCATGGCCTCAGCAATGGGGAGCTGATGAGTAACTGCAGATCCGTTAATGTATTGTAGAATTCGTCCAGTCACATCCACAAAGTCAGCAGAGGAAGAAGCTGAAGAGATACAAGAACAAATCCTATGGACAATCGTCAATATAATACATCTCAATGGGCACAGAAAAGACAAATGGGGCATTGCACTCCGAGATTAAACATGAAAAATAAATAACCGTACTGGGGTTAAACAAATGCATTAATTACCAGTTTGGGGAGGCTCTGGGCGACTGAAAAACTCTCTCCATGAGCTGTCCAGGAAGGAAGAACTGTAGCGATTATCCAGAGAACCCAGGTGTTTGGCCACGGGGTGAGAGCCTGTGGAGACACTCACATGATACAGCCTGAACTTTTTTTAACTCCCAGTTGGTTGTTTTGGAAAGCTTTTGCAGTTTTTATGTGAAATATCATTGTGTTTAGAGGTTATCTATATGCACCTAAAGGCACCACAAGGAACTTCATGTGGCTGAGCCAGTCAGACATCTTGTTGGCGAGCTGAGAGACAAAGAATCTCAAGACGGCTCCTAAATAGCTTTGACCTCCAACCGCCACAACCTTCACCGGTTTGGGCATGATGGAGTTACAGTTGCAGCTGTGAGAATAAAGAAGGAACAATATGCACCACACTGCAGACACAGGAAATGGTAGAAGCACATGCTGTTAGTATGCTAAAATCTTTGATCAACTATGTGATTCATATTGACAACCATGAATATTAACATCATGAGATCCAACAGCCAGGCATCACTACAAACCATGTCGTTTCACATTTGTGTTTATTCTCACTGACTCCACCACAGTTACACTCACAATTTCTGTATGCGTGTGAGTAGGGCTGAAAGGACGGCCTGGATTTCTGATCCTGAGCAGGTGCAGACCACCGGCAGCTTCTGGGCCTGCAGCAGCTCAGCCACATACTGCAGACACACAGAGTCAGATTGCTCTACTTCAAAATGAATAAAAACATCAATATGCACTGAGACACTGATAAAACATATTTACAGAGGTTCAACTTCAGATTAAAGCTGCAAGCAGCGATGAAAAGGGCCCTTGCACCCGTGCCGCCGCCACCCGGCGGTTTTAGGAAAACAGAGCACGGTGGGCAGTATGTAAATATAGGGGGAATATGTTAAAGTAATTTGACCCACCCAATTCTGAAACCCACCTCACACGTAAATTTTCACCACTTCTGAAGCGTGTGCAAAGTTTCATGAGTTTTCGAGCATGTTTAAGCCGGAGGACTATGTCAAAGTCATTTATTTTTAGCACACTTCCTGCTACCAGCAGGTGGCGCTATTACTATAACCGAATATGAGCATGGTCATGTGTTCAGGACAGGACAGGACAAATTTGAAGAGGACCATATAAAAACTGTAGGAGGAGTTTGTTAAAGTACGAAGCCTGAAAATGGCAAAAACTGCACAAAAATCAGAGAGGAAAATACAAAATGGCAGACTTCCAGTTGTGTTTAGGGCTATGCTCCAAGATACTTTTTAGTAGGTATTGGGTTATTACATGTATGTACCGAATTTGGTCCACGTACGTGAAACGTAGCGCCAGGGGCAATTAGTCGAAATATTTGTTTGCCCAACTTTTTGCCCATTTGCCCCACCCAGTTCTGAAACCCATATCAGATGTAAATTTCGGGCAGTATGTAATGATAATAAATATAGGAGGACTATGTCAAAGGATTTGTATTTGCACACTTCCTGCTACCAGCAGGTGGCGCTATTGCTATAACCAAATATGAGCATGGTTATGTGTTCAGGACAGGACTCTTATCAAACATGTGAAGTTTGGGGCAGATCGGACATTGTATGCCTGAGTTACTGCAGGCTGTCTGTGGTTGCCTAGCAACATTGGAACTGCAAGCAATATTGAACTATATGACATATTCATGCACAAATCACCAAAAGGCTGAAATTGGGTGTACATTTGTCAGGCCGCCAAGGGCACACCCTTCGACGAAAACTCAAGATCTTCGCAATGTAATGTCGCAAAGGCCTTAAGATTACACTCACCAAATTTGAAGAGGATCAGATCAAAACTGTAGGAGGAGTTCGTTAAAGTACAACGTCTGGAAATGGCAAAAACTACACAAAATCTGAGAGGAAATTCAAAATAGCTGACTTCCTGTTGTGTTTAGGGCTATGCTCCAAGATACTTTTTTGTAGGTATTGTGTCATTACATGTATGTACCGAATTTCACACCTGTACGTCAAACGTAGAGCCGGGGCAATAATGTAGGGGGCGCTATTGAGCCATTTTGCCCCACACATTTGTCAGGCCGCCGAGAGCACACCCTTCGACGAAAACTCACGATCTTCGCAATGTAATGTCGCAAAGGCCTTAAGAATACACTCACCAAATTTGAAGAGGATCAGATCAAAACTGTAGGAGGAGTTCGTTAAAGTACAACGTCTGGAAATGGCAAAAACTACACAAAATCTGAGAGGAAATTCAAAATAGCTGACTTCCTGTTGTGTTTAGGGCTATGCTCCAAGAGACTTTTTTGTAGGTATTGTGTCATTACATGTATGTACCGAATTTTACACCTGTACGTCAAACGTAGAGCCGGGGCAATAATGTAGGGGGCGCTATTGAGCCATTTTGCCCCACACATTTGTCAGGCCGCCGAGAGCACACCCTTCAATGAAAAATCAAGATCTTCGCAATTTAACGTCGCAAAGGCCTTAAGATTACACTCACCAAATTTGAAGAGGATCAGATCAAAACTGCAGAAGGAGTTCGTTAAAGTACAACATCAGGAAATTACGAAAAATGCACAAAATCTAGGAGGAAGTTCAAAATAGCTGACTTCCTGTTGTGTTTAGGGCTATGCTCCAAGAGACTTGTTTGTAGGTATTGGGTCATTACATGTATGTACCAAATTTCATACCTGTATGTGAAACGTAGAGCCGGGGCAAAATGTGGGGGCAATAATTTACAGAATTTGCCCCACCCAATTTTGAAAACCATATCACACGTAAATTTTCACCACTTCTGAAGCGTGTGCAAAGTTTCATGAGTTTTCGAGCATGTTTAGGCCCTCTAAAAAGCGATTCTTTTAAGAGAAGAATAATAATAAACAGAGCAAAAACAATAGGGTCCTCTCACCATCGGTGCTCAGGCCCTAATTGAAGCAGTTATCAATTGAACACAAGAGAATGGCTAAGTTGTGTGCAGGGTGGTCAGACACAGGCACACAGGAAGTGAAGTGGAATGGTATTTACGTGTCCTTGCCAATCGCTGCCGTTCACCAAGATAAGGCTGTCAGGAAGGGTGCTGTCAGACAGCAGAATCTGGTTGAGCTGGTCATATACTATCTTCCTCGGCATCTGCAAAGAGAAGTGTGACTGAAAACATTTTCTCAGACTAGCATTTTAAGGTATAATTTCTGGTGTTAGAGAGTATCTAACATCATAGTGACGCTACTAACTTAACTACTTTCACAGAAGAGTGACAGCAGCTTAGCTGCTTTATTAATGTAGCTTTTAAAGAATAAAATGTAATGTCAGGTATTTGTAATGTCAGCTCTACATCCAAGCGAGGAAATAAGCATTGTAAAGTCTGATTTTATTTATTTTGAACAGTTCATGAACGCAAATAAACGATTCGTTGACTCATTTGGTTCATTATTGCAAGGCATATTTTACTGCTAATTATCATAGTTTTTGCCTGGTTTTACTCAATGTAAATGTACACCACTGTTCAAAAGTTTGGTGTCACTTTTTGTAAGAAATTAATACTTTAATTCAGCAAGGAAGCATTAAATTGATCAAATGACAGTAAATACTTTTACATTGTTACAAAAGATTTCTATTTCATATAAATGCTGTTCTTTTTAACATTCTATTCATCAAAGAATCAAATGGAATTGTGGATTCCACAAAAATATTATGCAGCACAACTGTTTTTAACATTGCCGATAATAAGAAGAAGAAATGTTTCTTGAGCAGCAAATCAGCATATTTGAATGAATTCTGAAGGATCCTGTGACACTGAAGACTGGAGTAATGATGCTGAAAATTCAGCTTTGCCATCACAGAAATAAATTACATTTTATAATAGATTAAAATAGAAAACACTTGTTTTAAATTGTAATAATATTTTACAATATTACTGTTTTTACTGTTACATTTTAATCAAATAAATGGTGAACGTGTGAAACTACTGTTCAGAAGAAATGTTTGTGAAATTTATGTAACTGTTCAAGTTTAAATGTTATTCTAATTGAGATCCTGAGATTGTATCAGATAAATACTACCGTTACTGTAGAAATAACATTCATAGGGCCAGATATACTAACATCTTGTGCCAGCGCAAAAACACACCCAACAGCTTGTGTCTTCCACTGTTTATCAAACAGACAGTACAGGTCCGGAGCCAAACTAGTAACTGTAACACCCCCTCCCTCCCCTCCTCGCTGAACGCAAGCAAATTCGCAAAAGTGAAAAGTGAGCACGCATTCAAAAGCAATCACAAATGTGCGAAATGAATGCACCCAATCCATAACCCCCCCAGAAATATATGCACCCCCGATTTATGTGCCCTGGCGCCGGCTCCCACCCCAAGCCCATGCCATTGGCTAAATCAGTTGACATGTTGACCCTACACATTTCAGGAAATCAATTTAGGAATAGCATGCTTACAATCATCTCTGGACATTAAACTGGGATAAGAGAAAGTACTTCGAAAAATTACATCGAAAAAATAAACACTTCACCTTTAAGAGCTCTCGTATTGTGGGTGACTCAGTAACAGCTATTTCGGTCTCACGAACCACATGGTTTCTCACAAACATTTGATAAAAAGCAGCAGAGATGGTTAGCAGCAAAAATACATGTTTAAGTGGAATGTATCATGCAGGGAGAATTAAAAATGGCACTTCATCACAATGGCCTTTGAGTATGTTTTGACACCTCTGCACAAAAGTGAACCGCCATATGAACTAGGTGTTGAATCATGTGTACAGAGTTACATAAGGAGAATTATCGCCCACTCTCTCTCTCTCTCTCTCTCTCTCTCTCTCTCTCTCTCTCTCTCTCTCTCTCTCTCTCTCTCCTCTAGCAACACCCACTTCCCCCTCTCACTAATCCTCATGCACGGCCCAAATGCATCACCATATTCTCGGCTTTGCCCTCTCACATCCACACAAACACACAATTTCCTGAGCAAATAGCCCTTTATTGATTCTGAACTTCAGTCAGAGCAACTTAAGAAAAGTGAGGCAGCTGTTCTTGACTAAGTGCTGTAAGTGCTAGCTGTGTGTGTCTGTGTGGTTACCTGAGGGGTGAGGCTGAGCTCGGGTGATCTCTCACTGTCTGAGCTGTTGGTGCGTTCGCTGAGTGGTTTGGACAGCTGTCTCTCTTTCATAGGGGTCCCTCGCCGCTGTTTAGGGGTATGATTGCCATCCAGCCTGGAGATAATGTCACAGCTGCTTTTATTTATTTACTATCCACTCCATTTTTTTTCTCAATATGTGCACAAAAGTCTAAATGAACAAGGAACTATGTACATAGTTTGCGCATAGAATACATTAGGAGTGGGCAGTATTACCCACAATGAGTCATTTTATATCATGTCGTAACAGTACATTTAACAATGCAGTTAATTTAGCAAGAAAGGCAAGTACTTGTTTATATATTAAGGTCAATAATTGTTTATATATTATTTTAGTTTATATAAGGTACTCCATCTCAAATTATTATTTTCTTTTTTTTGGTTGGTACTTGATGGAATAAAACCAAAAGATTACATAACTTATCACAAATTAGTATGGAAAAATCTCTATCGGCTGACACATTTCTATCATTTGATGCTTCATAGCGAACAGCCCTTAAAGGGATAGTCCACACAAAAATAAAAATTGTTTCATTTACATACCTTTGTCTTATTCCAAACCTGTTTGAATTTCTTTCTTCTGTGAAACACAAAAGAAGCTATTTTGAAGAATGTAGGTAACTGAACAGTTTTGGATCCTTTTGACTTTCATTGTATAGACAAAAAAAATACAATAGAAAGTCAATGGGAACCGATTCTGTTTGGTTATCAACTTTTTCATTTTTGGGTGGACCATCACTTTAAATACAGGTTTAATGTGAAATACCAACCTAGGAGATGGCATGTTAGTGCTATTGCTCCTCTGTGGGGTCCGGGGCCTCTCCGCCACTGATAAAGTGATGCTAGGTGTCCCGTCTGCTATCACCTCCACTTCATTGAGTTCCTATACCATAACCTTCTCAATAAATACTAGTTCACAGGCTCACAAAGCACAAAAGTGGATTCACTACAAACCAAATGCGAGGGGTAGAAAGTGAGAAGGGGGCACATAGAGAGGTGCAATCAGGCTCACCAGCGTGTCCATTTCTGAGAAAGCCTCATCCAGCTGCGCACTGGGGGAACGCTGGATTTTACCAGTTATAGTCTGCTCACTCCTCTTCAGGAGAAAGAATGGGCGTGGGAAAGAGAGAGAATTGAAAAGAAATGAGACATATAGTGGCCCCAAAATGTATATAGACAGTTAAAACTGTAGTTAAAACTGTATGAATGTCATTACACTAGACAACAAATTTAAGCAAGTGGCATGTATATTGAAAAAAGAACAGCTAAATATTTCACAAAAGGAAAACATGTTAAAAAAATTAAGATAAAATGTATTCGGACACTTTCATATAGTTAATGTGACCATAGTCAGTTGGTTAAAAGTAATTGCCAAAATAGCTGGCTTAAAAGTCCAAATAGTTTTGGTTTACCTCATATATATATTGTTTACACATATACATATACATACATATATAGATACATATGTATATATATATATATATATATACACACACACACACAAGAAAAGCAGTAATGGTGCGTGCCCACTGTCGAGGAGTGAGCGGAGCAGAGCGTTTTCAATTCATTCCTATGGAAGTTGAGCTTCACGCTCACGCGGTGCATTGTGGGATTGAAAGCGGACAGGAGAAAGCGTTGAGAGTGGGCGTGACTGTCAAAAGGTTAGGCAGTTCTCCACTTTATGCAAATATCAAGGGAAAAATGCGGGCAGCAGCCAATCGCTGTGTGGTTCAGGCAGTAACGTCTGTTACTGAGCGTTTAAAAATATGCAGGTTGTGCCGGAGTTTATGCTGGATTTAGTGCATAAATCTTTTTCTTTTTTTTTTACACATTGTACACTTTGCAGTTGTTACATGCATGTTAAATATCGCAGTTTGAAAGCTTTCATTGCAATTATACTGGCTGGGTTTTCAAACGTTTACAAAATTGACAGGATATCTTTACTTGGGGCATTTGGAATCAAAGCTTGCCTATTTCCAAATGTAATCGTATGAATCTCTGATGATTAAATTGCCCCTGTTGAAAAAAAAAAAAAACAGATTAAACACTCTTGCTTCAGACATCCCCCAGAGCAGAGGCATTATAAGCGGCACTAAGCGGAGTTTTGCCGCTGTGGTGGGCAAGCACCATAATAAGGCAAAGCAAAGTAAAGTTCAAACGCAGTGCTAAAATAAGGTCTCTCTCTCTCTCTGAAGGACACTCACAGGACTCAGCTTGTCTTTGCTGCGGCTGCACCTACTATTCAAGCTACCAAACTCCGTCTGAGAGCTGGACTGTGACATGCCTTCAAAAAATGGCCTAAAATACACACACACACAAAAACCCAGGGTAAGAATAAGAAAGCTGAGATGTAGGCAGTTTGCCCACTCAGTATGTGGCTGAAAAAGCTCTTAGTTTATTTCTACATTAGAGAGTAGAATATGCTGCGTGTACATGCTTCTTCTCATATACAATATATACCAGAATCTTTTGCAACAACAACACTACATTTATTGGCTATCTCTATTGTATAATCAAATCCATCTAATGCAAAGGAAAATTACTAAATCAATATCTGAAAGTGGGTGCCATAATAGTAAATATTAGCTATTGAATGATGTACCGGAGTTTGGGTTTGGGGGTGCTGATAATACTGTCCGTCTCCTCCATGTCTGGGCCGCTGTCACTGGGGTTGTACATTTCAAGACTGTCATAGAGCTCATCCAGGTCCTCTTCCACATCCCGGATCTGCTCTTGGGACACATGATCCAAACCGAACCCCACCTACATTCATAATATTACCCATCGATTACTGATAGAGATGAACGATAAATAGGTACCATATCGGTTATCGGCCGATATTCGATTTTTGAAAAAAAATATTTATCGGCTGATATAGGATATTTATTGGTTCTGCTCAATTACCATATTTTTAACTTTAGAATACCTTTCTCATCATCTGATACACTTAAATGGTACTCTTTAAAAACACTAATAACACTTAAAAAACTAATTTTTTTTAAATGAATTATTAAAAAAAAAAAGAATTCGATGAATGTATTATTATTTATTGATTATTAGCCATTACATGACAATAATTACCAGCTTATCTGTATCTGACAGAATTTTTATATAGATGCACACCTAACTGCTCATTAATGAAGATTTGTACTGTTCTAAATGACCAAATACATTTCTTAAAGAAAACCTGGTGGGAAAAACAAGCGAAAAGACCTTCACCAAAAGAGCGTGTGAATTTAGAGACAAGATGCAATTACCTCATCAGACACTTTGAACCATTTCACCAATGCCATAAGCTTCTGTTTGATGTTGGGTTGCTGGATTTAAAACACAAACACCTTGTTAGACAGAAAGCGGGGGAGTCAAAAGCAACAATAGCAAACAGACGGAAATTAACCACGTATCTGGTTGAGCAACAACAGGGAACAAAAATAGCAGCAAGCAGAGAAGGGGAAAAAAAGCTGTCGCAACAAGCACAGAGCGCTTGCGAAGGCTTGTCAGCTAGAAGACGAAGCACACAGGAACACAAAACAGACTTCTGAAAGCATCTGAGAGGAGGAAGCAGATTTCACGTTAATGTGCTCAGAAGCCCCATCCCAAGAGTTTCCATGTGATTGGAAGAATTGCAGCAGCTCCTATTGCAATCACTGCTACATCTAAAGAACAGTTGCCCCAGGGAGAAATGTGCAGTTGTTCAGCCTGACAAAGCCTGAGTCAACATGGAGACAGAGAAAGCTGGTCTGGTTCTCTGAGGTCTGTTTTATAAATCTGGACAGATCACTTACGTCACTTACGTTAGCTCTGGTGATGGAGGCTGTGGAGGGGAGTTTACGACGAGGTTTCTTTTTCCTCAGTTCATCCTCGTCATCGTAGAGGTACTACCCAAAAGGGACAAATCAAACTTTAAAACCTCCTCAAAAACCTTATTTGAATACAATAACAGTTCATAGTAACTTATTTTTTGGACTGTCAAGTGATAAAAAAATAATAAAAAATACTTAATTACATTATGTGCCAATTAATACATCTAAATAATAATAATTTAAAGTCATTATTGTGTTAAATGAGAAAAGCGTCAAATAGACATTACAAAAAGTAGCTTTAGAAAGAAATATTTTATTTGATTCAATATAGAATTTATTACACAAACTTTTAGGCTACAAACTATTGCCAAAATATGAAAATATTTTTTCATGGAAAAAGAGCTGCATGAACATTTATCAAAACTTCTTTTTTCAGTTTCATAGTCATTACAGGTTTGAAACTACATAAGGATGAGTAAATGATGACAGAATTTTTGTTTTCAGTTCAACTTATCTATTATACTATTATACTAATCTTCCATTTTTGCTTCCTACATTTCCTCTCCTTTGCTAGAGGGTCTTCACACCAATTAATATAAATTTTTTTCTATACAAAGACCATGCAGTGCGTTTTTTAAGTGATCTGACTTCAACAGATTCACTTCAGTCTCTGAGCAAAGACGTAATTCACTAAACCGGAAATAGGCAAGATGGCTGAACATCAAAATCAATCAGTTCAATCTAACAGGCCAGACCTGCCCCTGTAGAGGATCATCACTGCCGTCCTGCTCTGACGAATAGCTTTCCTCCTCCTCCTCAGAGTAATTATCAATGTCTGGTGAACGATCTGAAAGGCAGAAAACGGGAGCATGTGAGTGATTAAACCAGAGCAGGCCTGGCTAAAGAACTTACAGAAAGTATTCTCAAAAGTAAAAGGGCAGCCTTGACCTCTTTTTGTAATTCTCATTAGCTTGTTCAATTTGAAATACAGAGATCAACATGTACAACTCACCGGATAGCTTGGACTTTGGTCCCTCTGGGTCGATGGGCTGACTGGAGAGAGAATAGACCCTGATCTCAGCAACGGGCACCGGTGTGTCCTTCACCGTCGTGTGCAAGCACAACACCTGAGCACCTTCTGTAGGGTGCTGCATCACCTACAGACAGGGGGAACAAAAGCCATGAAGTAGCTTTAAAGACAAGGGAACAAACTACAAAACAAATCTGCTAAGTGATTACACTGCAAATAAACTACAAAATGTTAGATTAGTTATGGTGCTCAAATGTAGATATGTTTGCAGCAAAATATATTCCATATATTGTTTAACCTGCTTTCCTGATATGCGTTTTAACATTTTATTCTGGTTTAATTTCAAGGTTTTTTAAATATTTTCTTCTTCTTGGTATGAAATGAATAATGATAATAATAATAATAATAATGTGAAATGACGTGGATGCCTTTCAACAGTTAGTCATGTACTGAATCATAGTACAAATGCAAATGTCTTGGCATTGTTTTGGGCATTAAATTACAGATACAAAATGACCTGTGTGGATTTTGGTGCATTTGTGAGAAGTTTCAGTACTGAGACTGAAGCACAGAAAGTCATTCTCTTCCTCCTCCTACAGCAGCTTCCATGTCTTATATGGCATTTTTTGAGAAGCATTTTTCAAATCTGTGCTTAAATGTGAGACTTCTTTCAAACAAGCAATCTAGAATCACACAAAAATGTGGCCAAACTGGATTTGTAGGGTTTTGCGGTTCCTCACCTCAGCCATATTTATCAGTCCTAGTGCGAGGGTCTTATAGCCCAGTATAGTGCGATTCTTGTACCTCTTGCGTCTCTGGAGCATAATCTGAAGCTTGTTGGCATCTCTCTTCAAAAAGTGTGGGTACTGAAGCCAATATGGAAGGGGAAAAGTACTGAAGAATGAACATTAATCTAATTGAATCCAATTCATTTAAAGGTGGGGTATGTGATTCTCTTTTTTGTACATTTTTTCAAAATAACTTGAAATCCTATTCCTAACTCACTTACAGCCACTGAGTTAGAAGCACTGAAATGAAAATTAAGCAATTTAATCATCTGTGGAACGGGCAGGACTCGAAAAACTCCAGCCAATCATTTCCAAGACCACCAGAATCATTGGAGAGTAAGTCCGTCAATCAAACGGTTGTACCACACCCCCCTCCCCCCAGCGCGCGTGACCCTATCGTGCGCATACTCAAAGTTTGTGACGCATGCGCATCTCGTCAGTAAAGCCAGTTCCATGATTAGTAGTAAATCGTCATTACAATCTCTCGCGCATCTGAGTTTTCGCTCGTGCATGATTACGCGTCCATGTTCTTCGAATGGGTGGAGTCAGAGCCGGTGTTATGACGATTCATGCTACCCATCGAGATTTGCTACTTACTGCGCATGTGCAGACTCCGTTTTTTTTTTTACAAAAGGTACATTTTCATGTGTTATAATGTAATTTCTCTTTAAAAAATGCTAACTACCATATGAATATTTGTCTGGTCAGCCAGCTAAACAAGAATAACTGAAAGTTTCAGTTACTAAGGAGTGCTTTGACAAGTCAAAGATGAATATTTGATGATAATTTTTTACTTTTCACACCGTTTTAAAAATAAAAACAGTAGTCCACACTACAGTAGCTACTCATAACTTATAATTGTATTATAATTGTATTTCATATAATATTAATCGACATTCTTTGTGATACGGTAGCATTTTTCGACAAGGCAGCACAAATCGTCAGAACACCGGCGTTGGAGGAAAGAAGGTAGGACCATTTGAATTGTATATTTTCAAAATCTGCCGGACGTTGTCCAAATCACATACCCCACCTTTAAACAGAAGGGAAGAGTCACTAAAGGACTTCCAATAAATTCATCAAAACAAAACCATAATACCATAATATTAAATTTGCAAATATCAATGTAGTACTAATCTCATCCAAAATGCACTCAAACACAGCTAACCTGAAGAGAGAAGGTCAGCTGAAGATCAGTCTCTGTAAGGCCAGCAGAGGATAGCATGATTTCATTTGACCGCAAAATGCGTTTTGAGCCCTAAAGAGATATTTACAATCATTAGTTACCTAAACATAGATTAAGCAGTTTTTTTTGCCAACCAGAAAAAAAAAAGTTTTTACCTGAAGTTTAACTGCAATGACCACCGATGTGAGATCCCTGTCCAGCTCCTTCAAAATCACTAATTTTTTAAGAGTTAGACTGAGAAGTCTACAAGAGAAAAATAAGAGAGATGCACACGTTGTTCCGAGGACAAGTTGCTATGGCAGCTGAATGAATAATCTGTCCCCAAGCTGGTTTATCAAATACAGAGTTGACATTTTGGCCTTAAATCCCAGATGCAATTTTGGCTGCCATTTCACCTAAAATTCTACACAACAATTGTGACCTTTTGTGCAGTGAGTGAGAAGTGCCATGATGGTTTTTAATATATGTCACTCTCAGTCACAATAACAAATCAAAATGTGCCTCCTCATATAATTAAAGGGAATGATATTTACTCGCCCTCATGGAGTTCCACACCCGTAGGATGTTTTGTAGACTATACTAATGTTTTACTTTTTTTTTCTCTGTGGAACACAAAAGGAGAATTTATTTGTTTACACACAGATTTTTTTCCATAGTGCCTTTGTTTGTCTAACTCAAAAATATACCCTTTTGAGCCTTTTTTGTCCCTTTTTGAGCTTGACGTAATTATGAACGGTCAATTAGGAAGTGATTCCTTATTCTACTTTAGTTCACAGAAAACTACCAATATACATCTTTGGATTAATATGAGGGTGAGTAAATGATGGCAAATAGTTTCATGCCAAAAAATTAACAATCAATCTATAAAATACATGTACAGAAAACAAACATGACTGGAGATTCAATATCCTGCTAGCGATTTAAGGACAGCTAATAATTGGATGCTGGAATGAAAATCATTTCCAAGTTAATTTCTCCACTCCACGTGACACAGGACATCTGAAGTAAACTCTATTTTGTAACAGACAAGGAATGCAATGTCCCAAAAACTGGGTTGTCCTCGGGTACATCTCCACAAGGTGTGCTGAGGTGTTTTTGGCCTGAAGTCAAAAACACTGCATTGGGAGTAATACATCTTAGAGTGACACGGCACTCTCAGGCTCTTGGCTCATTCAGTTTCTTTGACAGGTTGTATTTTTACAGAACGACAGGAGAACATTGTCATAACATTGTAAGGAATTACATAGATGTGTATCTAAACCAATATGAAGACTAAGATAAAAGTATAACATTAAAAATACTGCCATACAATAATGTCAATTTATAGTTATAATTATACGTATAGTACATAATTATATATATATATATACACCTTTATTTGCCTAGCTGTGTGGCATGGAGCATTGTCCTGGCTGAGGGGAAACCCATTCTTCGAGTTGGGGAACATCATAAGAGCCAAAGGAAGCAAGTTTTCTTCCAGGATAACCTTCCTCAACTTGTCTTCTAATGGTTAGACAGAGACCTAGGGTGCTTCTCAATATCCCTCCTCGTTTCCTTGCTCCTCCGTCCTCCATCCTATGACCTGGAAACCGATCGAGCTCAGCCATCTTGAAGGACATCTCAATTCTCTAATTGCACAGCGAGCAGTCGAGGATCGAGGAGTGAGGAGGCTTCCCGTGGACTCATAAGCGAGGATACACAGGTGTATCCTTTGCGGAAGTGTTTTATCGACTAATTTTATATTTTATATTCTCCTCCGCCTTCACATTGGTCACAATCATTTGAATTTATACTTTACCGTTGCAGTTTAAATAAACCACACATCTCACATATTTTAACAGGGTATCTTGCTTTATTATTATTTATTATGAATTTCTTAAAGGGGTCATATAATGCCATTTTTGTACAAATTAATATGAATCTTTAGGGTCTAAATGAAAACTTTGTAATATACTTTTATTAAAAATTCTCATTAGTATTGTGAGAAAACACTAATTTTACCTGGTCAAAACCAGCTCTGTTTTCAGCATGCCGTTTCAGTGCATATGCCTTTAAATGATAATGAGCTTTGCTCAACCCCACCCCTCTATTCTTTAGTGCGTTTTGACCATAGACAGTGTTTTGACAACACACGTGGAGTGTTGCCTTGACAACAGTTTAGGGTATATTTTGGAGAAAGAATGGCAGTGGGAGTCTCTGAGGACACATCTGTGCAACCGTATCAGTTTGAACCGGAGTCGGACCGGTAACAAGATGACAGCCCCGAAGTTCGACAATTAAGGCTCGAACAGGACATTTCTGAATGGTTGGTTAACGTAATGTCACTTTGATCTATTTTTGTATGTACTGGCATGGTAGAGTAGTGAGATACGAACGCTATGCGTTTACTGATGTATAGGTTAGTTCGTTGACAGATTGATATTACAGTTAATGGTCATGAACAACTTTTTTTCGCGATTTGCAAAGATTAATATAAAGCTTAATAAAACTTAACACTAACTTCTTCTGGAGGTGCAGCAGGAACCTTGTTTATAAAGCAGTCTGGTGAGAAATGATTCGCGCAAACATGAAAGCATTGACGTTGATCGTGGGGAATATTCCCTTCGAAAACAAAACTCAGCCACTGCGTCTTCAGCGGTTCGGATTTAGGAACATCAAAATGACTGCTGTGTTCATTATTACACCCAAGAACAGAGCACCACAATCACTTAAACGCCATTCTGCTCCAGCGTATCAACATTGACGGACTATGATGACAGCTCACTCAGGGCGTGTCTGTGTTGAAACGCTGCTGTCAATCAACAATCGTGGGAGGGGCCTTTCGATTTAGTGACGTCACAAAATCGAACATAAGTTATGAATATAACTATGGATCTGTGAGACCGAAGGATGACCGTCACTACGGTCTAATAGGATGATAACCTTCGTTCCGCCTTCTCTCGAGACCTTATGTAAACAAAGTCATGCCCATGACCCCGGAAGCGGAACGTCACGCACTATAAAAGGCGAATTAAACTTCCGGCTCGTTCTCTTACCTTGAACGCCCTAGTGTTCCGAGCGACAAGGATAGTGGGGGTCATCCTTCGGTCTCACAGATCCATAGTTATATAATATTCATAACTTACGATCGTAGTGACGGTCAGAGTGAGGTCGAAACAGATCGTAAGTTATGAATATTATATAACTATGGATCTGTGAGACCGAAGGATGACCGTCACTACGGTCTACTAGGATGACTCATGTCAACAGGGTCGCAAGGAACTACAGACTCTGAACTATTCAAACCTCGCTGGGCTACAGACATCAAAACTGCAGTGCTGACAGGCGTTGTGCTAGTTACGTCAACTCTGTAAAATTTTGCAAATGTACATGGTGTAGACCATGATGCTGCAGCACAAATCTCCCCCACTGAAACTCCTTTTAGTGCAGCCCAAGAAGTAGCTACACTTCTGGTTGAGTGGGCCCGTATTCCCATAGGAACTGGTAACCCACTTCCTGTATAAGCCTGGGAAATAACCTCAACCAACCAATGTAACAAACGTTGCTTAGGAAGTGGACACCCTAGTCTGGCCTTCCCATAGCAAACAAAAAGCTGAGAATGAGACTTCCTCAAGGTCTGAGTAAAATTAACATAAGAGCGTAATGCCCTTACTGGACAAAGGGTGAGTAAATTCTGCTGATCTGCCTGTGAAGGGGGTTGAAATTGAACTACCTCCAGAACTTGATTCCTGAACTGAGAATTAAGTACTTTTGGTAAAAAGGCAGGGTTGGGCCAAAGCGTCACCCCTGTGCCATCCGGCCTCCAACATAAACAATCCTCACTAATAGATAGCGCACACAATTCTCCTACCCTTTTAGCAGAGCATATAGCCAAGAGAAAAGCTGTCTTGAGAGACCAAGCTTTAAAATCTGCCATAGGCTCGTACGGGGGCTTAGTGAGAGAGTCTAGTACAAAAGGCAAATCCCAATTGGGTACCTGCAAAGTGCGATTTGGACATAAGCGACCAGCTCCTTTCAGGAACTGACCTACCATGGGATGTCGGCCTAATGGCTGGCCATCCACTGAGCAGGTTATTGGATCATCATTCAAGCCTAAACACCACTCGGGCTAATTACTCCATAAAGTGGAGAATTTTTTCAGAGTAGATGGAGCTCTGGCGTTATTCAGTGTATCGCATACCGATTCATCTAGCTGTTGAGGTCCGCCATCACGTCCTGTACCCTTTCGTGAACCTCTCTGTTGGGCTCCCCCACGGGACTGAAATCTCCTCTGGGGATAAGTGGCAGGATTTTGTCTTTGGGCACGAAAGCTCTGCCCTTGAACACAAACAAGATTGCCACTCATGCGTCTAGACCAGGCAGGTTGCTGCGGCCTTTGTGTTTCTCGAGCCCTTGGTCTGAAGACTGGAGCTGGTTTATGACAAGCCCGCTGAACAGCTTCTCTCGTTACAATGGAGCGCTCCGCCTTATCCAGCACCTCCTGAGAATTTGAATTAAAAACATGACCGGGAATTACTGGCAAATTCATTAGTTTGCTTTGTATGGTCTCTGGCAAAGAGGTTTGTGCCAGCCATATCTGTCTACGACATAAAACAGCCGAAGACATAGCGCCCCCCACATCACGGGTCAATTGTGAGTGGGCTGCCAGAGCAGAATCAACAAGGTTCCTAGAATCCTGGTCATCCGCACTTACTGTTTTCCGTAAGGCTGCTAAGAGGATAGCCAAAGCATTGCCTGTACGAGCTGCACGTGCAGTGGCATTAAAGGATCTTGAGATCAGACGGTCAGTTTTCGCACACTCCTTGGGACAGCGAGGGTTAGCAGATGCATAAGCTGGTCCCAGAGTTGTCCATGATGCTATTTCTTGTTCTAGTGGTGGCATGTCCCCCAGTCCAGTTTCTTTTGGGTAATGGGCATTGGCCAACCATCTGCAGCCTGCATTGAATTGAGGCTTCTGAGATGGTTTCTTCCATGTTGTCCTCAACATTGAGGTATACTCATCTGCCACTGAAATGCAAGATGGAGAATTAGTCTGAGGTATGCCTTCCCAGACACTCCCGACAGGAGCTGGGTCAGCCACAGATGGCTGCAAACAAAGAATTTTTGCTGCACTAAAAACTCTAGCAACAAGAGTATTTGCTGGAAAATCATCCCTCCCTGTTGATTTGCCATCCACTTCGGCAGAATCTGAATGGGGTCCCTCTCCTTGGCTCCCTCCTTCTGCCTGCTGCGCATTATCAACTAGCGAGTGGGGAGCACGAAGAGATAATACATCAGCATCTTCTGTGTCAGTGTCAGGATTACCCTGCTGTGCAGGTGGAGGAACGCCTTCCTGACCAGGAGGTAGTGATGGTGAAAATGAGTGACGGGCTTCAACTCTGTCCATCCTCTGTGCTAAACTTTGAATAGCAGCCAGGATCTGTAGTTGAGTGTCTGTGTTGCCACCCTCTGCTGGTGGAGCAGGAGTTGGGGGTTTAGCCACTTCCACCACCTTCTCATGGCTTGATCGGTGTGGTTTGGTCTAAAAATTCTTTATTATATTTGCTTGAAAAAAATGAATTTGTATTCTCTATTTTCCTGTTGAAGAAACATTTCCATTTTATTTTTTCCTTGTACATGTCAAGTTAAAAATAAAACAAAAGAATCTGTAATACCATACTGTAGCCACTAGATGTCTGTATAGTCCTTTACATAAATATTTATTCAGGGCTGTGAAATTCTTAATAAATAAAAGTTTTTTAAAAAAAATAATATCTGTCCTTGAAGTAATCCAAAAGTAATCAGTTACATTACTTTCATATTGTGGTACTTGGATTACGTTACTGAATACTTTTTTTATGAAGTAATTTGTAACTGTAACGGAATACATTTTTAAAGTAAGCCTCCCAAGCCTGCGTGTGTCTGGAATCGGGCAGATCCGTCTTTGTGAAGACGCTTTCTTCCTTCTGCTCTGACAATGTTCCCCAACTCAAAGCTAGACAACAAGATCAAGAACCTGCCAATGCCAACCCAAACTCTAGACCTGAACCCCAGTGAAAACCTCTGGAATGTGATCAAGAGGAAGGACACAATGTCACAAGCCATCAAACAAAGCCAAGCTGCTTGAAATTTTGTGCCAGGAGTGGCATAAAGTCACCCAATAGCAATGTGAAAGACTGGTAGAGAGCATGCCAAGACACATAAAAGCTGTGATTGGAAATCAGATTTATTCCACTAAATATTGATTTCTGACCCTCTTCCTATATTAAAACATTTGTACCGTGTGTTTAAAATTGAATATAAACCTGTTTTCCTTGCATTATTCAAGGTCTGAAAACATAGCATCTTTTTTGTTATTTTGACCAGTTGTCCTTTTCTGCAAATACATGCTCTAAATGACAATGTTTTTACTTGAAATTTTGAAGAAATGTTGTCAGTATAGAATAAAACAAAAATGTTAACTTTACTCAAACACAAACCCATAAATAGCAAGTCCAGAGAAACTGCTAATTTTGCAGTGGTCTCTTAATTTTTTTTCCAGAGCTGTGTATATTTGAATCCAGTAACTAAATTTGTGTATAATACAATTATATATCTTCACTTTCAATCTGTTTTTATTTCTAAGCTACAGATGACGTTCAATGCCCTTGCATTACCTAAAAGCAACATCAAGAAAAGACATGAATACATAATAGGAGCTTGAGCCCAATCTGCTCTTCAATATTGAACGGGTCTAATTCACTTACAAGTCTGTCCCTGTGCATTAGAGTGTAACTCTAGAGCACAGAAGAAATTAAATTGGGAGAGGAGGGGAGAATTGGAAACACATCTCACCTTTCAGTGATCATCTGCAAGATTCTAATGGCATAATATGCTACATCATCCATTTAGAGTTTACATTCAGCAGTAGCCTACTGGTATATTCTGATATATACACTGATATATAATGGAAGGTACAAAGTAAGAAACTAAATGCCTAAAAGAGTCTCAAACGCCTTTGAAAGCATTATGGACGCAGTGTCATAGATAGAGACTAGTTTAAAAATGTCTTCATATTTGAGTAATACTCTTTATTCTATTTCTGTCACTCCAATTCTGCTTTTCTTCTCTGCTGGCCACTTTTACAGTTGGCCTTTTTGCATCTTCATGGACATTTTTTATTCCACTCCCTGCATAAATAATCCCAAAGCCCTTCCTCTTTATTTCCATATCACAATCCCTTTATGGAAGTAATGAGGCTGAATATTGGTGAATAGTATACAGCAAATGCATCCATTTTACTGCAAGCATTATACAAAGGAGATGCATTGTTTTGTTTTTAAACAACTCTTTTCGCACTAGTTTTCACTGCGGCAACAACCTCGAATGACATTTTCACTCTACAAATGTAAGGATGGCTCCACATATGACGTGTTGATTTTAACGGACTGCTTACGTTCAGTACACTTTTTATGACTAGTGAGTAACAGAAAGAAGTTAGAACATAATGCAAAACGATCAGCAGTCAGTATCAGCTACTGTCAAAAGCCAGGGGGTTTCAACCAGGGGCCCTCATACAGTATATCATGACATTTCAATTAATTTGAAATGATTTTGCAGCTTTTGCTGCATTCATATGCAACATATAGGCTACATTACATTTAACATTTATTCACTTAGCAGACGCTTTTATCCAGAGTGACTTACAAATGAGTGTTACCATAATATAAATAAATGTTAGCTACTAATATATAGCCTATACGTTAAGTAATACAACTTTCTTTCTGGTAAAATATAAAAACAAGGCATTAACGTATTGGAATAGTGAGGAGAAAAGGCTAGTATCTAATGAATGAGCCTTGACTAAATATTGTCTAGTGCTTTTAAATATTATCTAATGACAGTTACAAGTGAACTTAACGAATTTCTCAATAGTAATTTAAAAATAGGCCAAGTACAAGTAACATATATATATATATATATATATATATATATATATATATATATATATATATATATGTATGTGTGTGTGTGTGTGTGTGTGTGTGTGTGTGTGTGTGTGTGTGTGTGTGTGTGTGTGTGTGTGTGTGTGTGTGTGTGTGTGTGTGTGTGTGTGTGTGTGTGTTGAAACGGCTTTGCAGAGTCTCTGGTGTTTGGTGTGTGAAGTTGAAAGCCCCCTTGTCTAAAGTAAGAAACCACTGTTTCATGTGATCTCCAGCAGCGTGATCGGGATTAACCAATTACTCGAATACAAAGTAGCTCTATCGGTGGCTGTACAAAAAAAAAAGCGCATGTCTACTCGTAAGTGAGACGCGGCATACCTGGGCACACAGCTGGGAGAGGAGCTGTCAATCTCCCATGTCGCGAACAGGTTCATCTGAACCGGGCGACCCGAAGAAATCGTGACCGTCCTGAGATGCTGCAGGTGTGGAGACGGAGCTCCCGCTCGCTGGAGCTGCTGCTGCTGCTGAAGACCTCCACGCTCCGACATGCTGAAGGAAGTCTCGGGATCTGTGTGTGCTGCTGCCACTCTACTCGCTCAGTTTAGACACTCGCTCGTGTCTGTAATCTTTTTGAATGATGATGATGACACGTTCATGGCACGAGCCTCTTGACATTCCCGCCTCCGCTTAGCGGTGGATTCATATGACTTCACTCAATTGCTGCTGCGGTCAGTGCTTCTCCGGCTTGTTGTGATCAATAGAGCGTTTAAAACAGCAGCAGGAAGCGGAAATCTCTTCTTTAAAAACATATAGGCTAGTAAAGCAACGCCTCTCGTTAAAGACGCACGTAGCCTACTTCAAGCTAGTGACGCGACGGAACAAAACTGAACGGGTCTCTTGTCCTTGTATAGGCTACAGAGCATTAGCCATTAGGTCTCTAGGCTACTATTAAAGTCAGCTATTCGAAATAAGAAACAAAAACATAAACTTGTTTTCTAACTTTTTTTTAAAAGAAATATCACTAGGCGGTCACTTCTAGCACCTGCTGTATTAGCACAATATTTGTCAATGTCTACCTTTCCATGTGCATTGGGGTAGTGTCTGAAAAAATGCTTATTTTCAGCTTACCACGAATAGGCCTATAGGCTATATCCTGTAAACCAGTCTAAGATGGTTTGCTGGTCTTAGCTAGATGACCTGGTTAGACTGTTGACTGATTTTGGCCACTTGCGAAAATCAACTACCATCTTAAATGTTTAAGAAATTACAGACAACAATATTAAGTTCCGTGGGCCTATTGATTAGGACCGCATCGATTAAAAAGTATTGCTACTGACCTATAGCCTATAAGGCCCTAAACGGTTTTGCTCATGTCCTGTGTATTTTACCGATCTTCAATCAATCACGCTCTTTAAGGTCACAAAACTCTGGACTTCTGGTATAGCTATAGGATATCTGAGTCCACTAAAGGAGGGAGAGCGTTTTCGCATTTGGCTCCTAAGCCTTCCTGATAATGTTTGTGGCTCAGACTCTCCCATTAAATCTAGATTAAAGACACATCTCTTTAGCCAAGCATAATGCATCTCATAACCTTATACTCCAGTTATATCAGATCAAATGCACATGATTATCTTTGCTTGAAATGTTATGAACAGCAGCTATGCTAATTCCATTCTATTTCCTTTTCTGTTTTATCTCAGGATGCCCATAGAGAGTACGCCATCCAGTTTGGATCCAACCTTCTTAAAAACTTTAGATGCCCCAACACCTGTGAAGAGACGACTCGAGATGACTCAAACTCCTGCGAGGACTCAAGATGACGCAAACTCTGAATCAACATGCGCCAATACATTTTCTGTAAAGCTGCTTTTGAAACGATATGGGGCCTATTGTGAAAAGTGCTATACAAATAAATGTGTATTGAATCAAGTCATAATCATAAACTCTAATCTCACTCTCTCTTACTGTCTTTCTATCTATCTATTTTTAAAACGCAACCCACTTGAATCTATTATGGTAGTGGCAGCTCCTAAAACACTGCAGCCACCCACACTGGCACCATTTGTAATTTATCTCTCCCTGACAGATTGGAGCCATGAAAGAAGTGAAGTTTCATGACATCAAGTCCTAAAACATGCAGACTGCCGAGGATTAATAAAAAAAAAAAGCCCAGAGTTTCTTACACTTTCTACATTTTAATCTTTTCGGATAAAGCTGAACCTAAAGGTTATAATGTCTGCTCTATTTCAAGACTGTCTTGGATTTTAAGGACTGTGCTTTTACTAAACTCGTGCAACACACTACACATCCCCACTTCCAATACATACTTTGAAAGGAATTTAGGATGCATGACAAGCAAATTCAAGAACAAAATAGTATTGAGTAAAGTACATGTATGTTTTAGTCTCTTCTGATATGATCTCATTATCTCTCATATACACTGTAATCAGACACCATAGTTCCCAGATAAACAAACACTAGAATATTGTTGTTGTTGGCACAAAATATCTAGCTCTGGAGACTAAAGAAAATCCAAGGGCTTTCCATCAAAGGACAGGACAAGATCATTCTGATTCTCTTATTTGTGCAATATTTTAAACCACAAATCAAATGGCTGTCACATTATTACAGCTCTTTGCTGCCCCCCTTTGGCCATTTATGTAACAATTAAATGTAATATTCCAAACTAGAAGGCATTTCATGGAGCCTAGTTTTATATTTTCGGTAGACCTATAAGTTGCTTTATGCTGGCTTTTTTATAAATTTATAAATCTGCCCAGCAGCACTCTTGTTCCCTAGAACCTTTTTTTTTTTTAAAGTCATGCAGTATTTACCTGTAGGCTATTCGCCTGTAGATAGTAGTAATTCCACATTAGATTTTAGCTGGTTACCGCAGTCACTACATCGAAATCTGCTCATGTACAGTGGGTTTAAATAATAATTTAAAAATCTTCTATTTCCCCCCCCCTTCAAATTAATGGCTTTCTGCATATTGCAGTAACGATGTTGCCACATGTAATCTGTTACTTTTGTCTGCGTTTGTCAGGATGGGCCACCAATCACAGTCGTTTGGCTTTTCAATAAGGTTATTTAAAAAAAAAAAAAAACGTTTTATATCTGTTATTTCAGCCAATTTTATTGTGTATGTCATGTATCGGTCCCTGCGATATGTTGACTAAAATATTAATGTACAAATAATATCCTGCAAATGTCTCCAGCACCCTTGCGCCCTCTAGAGGAATATAACTGGCTGCTTGTCTCAAAGTGAATAGTAACGTTCGGAACCACACGCGTGCGCGCGCTCCGCACTGCAGTCTTTACATCAGCCTTTACATGCTGGGACAAGCCTACATGGTATAGGCTAAATTAATTAAACAGAACCTCATTGCAAGGACAGTCATAACAGGATTTGGAGAGTGTCGTTTTAAGGTAAGGTAGGCCTACAATAATTGTACACTTGGTAGAAGTCTAAAAGTATTTCTCTTGTCGTCAAATGTTTTCACTCTCTTCATAAGTGGTTGTCAACAACCACCAACCATATAAACATAATGAGTGGAAGGATTTCTTCCCCTGATTTTCATTTCCAGTTCAGTTTTTACATTACATCTGCTTCTAAATAATTACATTTTGGGGGTAGATGATAAATAAAAATATAAATAATAAATATGTGGCTGCTATGATTGATCAAAGCGATTAACTTTGCATTTAGACTGTTGTAAAATAAGGAATAGTGAATTTGATGTAAAAGTGATGTGATGTAGCAGTGATCTATATATTTTTTTTTTTGAGTGTCTCTGACAGTTCTTTCCTGGATGGAGCAAATCTGTGCCACGGGAATCGCTGCTCGTTTGAGGAGTGAATGGGATCGAAATGAGGGATTTGGTCAAAACCATATGGCCCTGAAGTTTTTGGGCCAAGATTTTGAATACTTGCGTGACCGCTGCCTTCAGAGTGGATGTCTATTTGAGGATGAAACATTCCCAGCCCAGCAGTCTTCTTTAGGATTCAAAGAGCTGGGCCCCGGCTCTGCCAAAACCAAAGGTGTTCGCTGGATGAGGCCGACGGTGAGAATAATAGAATAAACTGGGAGTCTGTAGTGTGGGCCAGTATTTCAACCATAGCAAGATCAAAAACCTAATATGTATAGACATTAGCATACATAAATTATGCAAAGTCTTTGCTCACATACTGGGCTTTAATATTCTAAAGCATCTTTTACTTGCAAAATACAGTAAAAAGATAACACTGGTTGATCAACTAACCAACTATTTATCTTTCAATAAGCAGAGATGTTCCAGTCATTTGTATGCCCTGTCTGACCCATAGGTCTTCTCTATGTACCCCAGGATTTCTGCACTGATCCACACTTTATCGTAGATGGGGCCACTCGCACAGACATCTGCCAAGGAGCTCTAGGTAAAACAAGCATCTACTAAAACAGAAATAAATCAATGAAGAACTCAAAAACATGGCATGGATGCTTTCCTGCCAATTAACTCACAAGAAAGTGCATGTTTTTGCCAGTGATAACGTTGTTGCAGCAGCAATGAAGCATGTTTCCCATCTGTTTCTCTACACTTGTTTTTTTTCTTTCAATAAATTGATTGTAGGAGATTGTTGGCTGCTGGCAGCCATTGCGTGCCTCACCCTCAATGAACCCTTGCTGCATCGGGTGGTGCCTCATGGCCAGAGCTTCCATCAACAATATGCTGGAATCTTTCACTTCCAGGTACTGAGCAGTGTACATTCAGATTGTAAGTTTTTTTTCAGTAATATTTTTTAATTCTAATTTTATAAATGTCTAATTTTATACATATATATATATACAGTATGTATATATAATTACAATTATATATGATCGTATGACCAGCCAAATTGCTCTTTTAATTACGATTAAAATTTAATTATAATTTACAATTACCTATAAAAGAGAGACATCATTTAGAGGTAATATATACACTTAGTCACAAGATAATGAATATTTTACAATTATTTAAGTAAATACATTTAGAACCCGTTAGTTAATCTTCTGACACATTTCCTGAGCCCTGGTTTTTGTGAAAAATCCCAAACATTTCCTTCCTTCCAATGCAGCGTGTAAACTGATCTGTTCCCCTTCCATTTGATTCTCCATAGCTCAGCAGATCTACTTTAAGCCACAGTCCCTAAACCTCAACCCACCCTGTCTGCTGCAGTGACTATATATACAAGCCTCACCCAGAAAATGAAATGGCCACATCTCTCACTCCTCTCTGCCAAATTCCCCTTCTGTTGTCCAGCCAGGAGCCATTTAGGCTCAGTCACTCAGTGAATGCTTGTAATGTTCAGAGCATTAGTGCTGCAGAGAGACTTGGAATACAGCCAGCAGCACCTACTGTACTGATGTTTACATAGAGAAAAAATAAACAAAGATGTTATTTATCTTTTTTTTAAACAAATGTTTAATAATATACCAGTCTCTTCTACTCACCAAGGCTGCATTTATTTGATAAAAAATACAGTAAAATAATAATAATAATAATAAACTTTATTTTATATAGTGCCTTTAAAAGTATTCTCAAAGCACTTTCCATAAAAATAATGAAATTAGAAAGATACACAACAGTCTAGGCAGTAAAAACTAAACAAGCAATAAAAATAGAAGGCCGATATAATAACAAACACAGCAATCACACGAATCACATAAAAGCCACCCTAAAAAAGTAAGTTTTAAGGGACGATTTAAAAACTCTAAGGGATTCTGCATTCCTAATCTCAGAGGGCAGGGAA